TCGGGGGATGATGTCTTTGTTTTACATAATTAATTAATAGCTGAGTGAAATTTTACGATAATTAAAAGAATATGTAAACAATGTTATATTTGATTATATAAAAGTCTTTAAATATAAATAATACAAAACATAATAATGGTATGCATGTTAAGATATGTTAATATATGTGTTATGCGTGTTATGTAAGATTTTTTTTTTCGAAAAAAAAAAAACTTACGCGATTTTTTTTTTCATACAAAAATTCCAATTTGATATCGTTATTGGAAAAAAAAAATTTTTTCAAAATTTCCCAACCAACCAATTATTTATTTTAAATTATCATTATTTACACTATTTACATGCATATTGAAATATTATTGTTTATCTCTTTTTCGCCTTTAACAAACGCCAGGATATCAAGATAAGGATTGTCACTCACATTTATATTATTGATAAATATTTATTTTTTATCCATAACAAGGATAATCAATTTGCATTAAAAAAAAAGGGTTGGGTATAATGAAACATTTAATTAGAAATTGTATGTTGAGTCTTATTCGCATTAAAGTTTATCATTATTATATCATCATTATATCATCATCATTATATCATCATCATCATTATTATATCATCATCATCATTATCATCATTATTATATGGTCTTTTAAATAAACCAAAAAGATTATAATAATAATAATAATAAAGATATGATGACTTTGAAAATTCTACTAACATTTTTTTAGAGTATAATAAGAGAATAAGAATGGGTTAAAAATTTAATCACAATAAAAATAATAATAATAATATCTGTTCCATGTATAACCATTAAGAATACTAAAACTAGAATAACTTAGAAAATTGGATCACTTATATTTAATTAAAAGTTTATCCCGGATATTTTCGGATGAATTATCTATTTTTTTTCTTTAGTAATAATTGATAGTGGTAAAAAGTAGTACTACTAATAGTAGTTAGTAGTAGTTGATAGTAGTACTAGTAAGTAGTAGTTGATATATAAACTCGTCCGTTATGGTAGTAAAATAAAATGGATTTTGATCGTGTACTACTTTTCTTTTCTTTTTTCTCACTATCACTATATCCTATTTTGAAGATTGGATGCGTGGATGCGTAATCTTTTTTAAAGAAAGAAAGAAATTTGATTGAAATCAAAAAAAAAAAAAAAAAAATTCACAAAAATTTGGAAAATCTTATGTAAATGTACACAAATTTCACGATTCGTGTATGTAATGTGTGTATATGCATATGTGCCAAGCCTTTAGTAGTTTAATATTGTCTTTGCAAGCAAGCCAGTCAGTCAGTTAGTTAGTCAGTTAGTCAGTTAGTCATAATTTCAATCTTTTTTATTTTACTAACTTTTAAAAATATTAATGAATATAATATCACATTAATTAATGGATACATATACATACAATTAATTGCAAATACTATAATTGATCAAAAAGAAAAATATTACCTCACAATAAATCATTGGTGCGATAAAGGAATTTTTTTTTTTTTTTTTTAAAAAAAACAAAGCAAATTATAATCTATCATCAATTATTTCACATTCTGTTTATCAATAAATTCTATCTGAGCTAAAAAAAGACGTTAAAAATAATGCCACAACATAAAATTACGTAAGTTTTTTTTTTAACTTTAACATTACGCGTAATAGTAGTAATAATAATAATAAATACGTAAATTTAGATTACATTATTTATTTTCATTATTTACATTGTTCACATTATCTTTAACGAATTGCTTCTTTTCAAAATTTGAATTTGATTTTTTTTTGTTTTTGAACAAAAAAGAATTGAACATTCGATGTAATATGCATATCATGTTTTTAGCCACAAAAAAATGTGACAAAATATTGCCGATCTGATAAATATATTGTTTCATTGATAAAAATTATAAAATTAGAATTTCATGAAATTCCGAGAAAAAAGGATTAATAATGATTACATTGTGTCATTACAAAAAACTCCTCATCTAACCTTTTAAAAATCATTGTTGCATAAAACAATAAAAAATTTATGCAACTATCGTCCTTATGACGCAATGATAAAAATTTGTGCATGCGTGTACTAGGTAATATAAGATATGAATGTGACAAGGAGAAGGAGGAAAAAAGAAGGAAAAGAAGGGGGGGAGGGAAAGATAAGGATGAGAAAATAAACCTAAAAGTTTAAAACAAAACAAAATTTATATTTCATTGTGTTTTTTGGGGGGTTCCAATAATTGAATTCCTATTATCTCTATTATCTTCATTTTTTTTTTTCATTTCATTCTTTCTATGATGAAATTGTACATTTTGGAAATTTGATCTAATGAAAAAGACAATTACTATATTATCATTATGTTTTTTTTTTTAAAAAAAAAAAAAAATTAATGATAATAAACTAACAACCCAACAAATGTAACCAACCAACGCAACCAACAATCAAAGCAACACAAACCAACGCAACACAATCAAAAGCAACAATACAACCAACCAATGTAACCAACCAAATACAACCAACACAACGTGTGAATAAATTGATAAATCAATGTATGTAGCTTTTTGTTACACCACCTTTTTTCCCCACCAAAACAATAACCATAAATTGGAAAAACATTTTTTCGTCATTATTTTATTATTATTATTATCATTATTATCATTATTATTATTATTATTATTATTATTATCATTATCTTTAGTAGATAAGGTCGTATTCGATTTATCTTTTGATTGGATTACTTTTTTCCTTATGATAATAGACTATAGATCGATTGTTTTTGTTTTTTTTTGTCTAAAATTTCTATTTGAGGGTTTAAAGATCAAATTCTAGAAGTAAAAGATTTCTTCTTTGTAATTTGATAATTTAATAATAAACTTGTTAATAAACTTGTTAATAAACTTGTTATAAATTATATTTTATTAATTTGAGGACATAAAAAAAAAATAATCCCAAAAAGTAAACAATGGTCAATCTTTAACAAAGCAAGTCAACTTTTTTTTTTTTTTGGCCACATCGCATTGCGTTATCTCTATTATTATTTGTTGAGAGTACCCTATTGCTCGTTTCTTTTATCTTTTTCTTTCGTCTTCTGTGATAGAAAAAAAAATTGTACCATTTGAACTTATTAATTGATAATTTTTTATTACACATTGACCACTATATTAGATAGATTAAATACATATTTAAATTTAAATTACACAATTCGGAACGGAGCAGATAAGAAGATTTCTTTTTAGTCAAAAGAATAATTAAAGATAATAATAGATGATAATTGATAACGAAATTTTAATAAAACATATCAATATAATATCATATAATGTCATAAAGTTATTGTGATACAAACAGAAATAATTTACTGGTTCCACGCGATAAATTTTCATCCCTGCTGGGAATAATATTTGTATAATATTTATATAATATTTAGTAAACTGGATTTATTTTATTTATTTATTAATATTATTTATTAAATATTTATTAAACTTAATTAAAAAATGTTCATTTATTTTAATTCCTGTCATTCATTTGTTAAATGTCATTCATTTATTAAATGTCATTCATTATCGCTTATCTATTATCTTATTTTATTTTCATTTCAGAAGTTTTTTTTTTTTTTTTTTTTTTTTAACAAATTTGAAGATCTAAAATTAGAATCAAATAAAAAATAAAATAAAATAAACATATGGTAAAAACGGCAAAAAAAGATGGTGGGGTTGGATTGACACAAAACGCACAAACGTGTAATTGAAAACGTGAACCCTAAAACTGGGAATTAATTTGTTTCAAGATTTTAAGGAATTTTTTAATGATTTTAATTATTTTTAATGAATTTTAATTATTTTTTTTAATTATTTTTTAATTATTTCTGCAATCACCGTATTCTTTTTTGATTAAATCAATACAGAATTTCTTTAAAGGAAATTAATGTATATTATTATGATTCTTCTATTATCATTATTAATATATTATTATTCTATTATTATTAATAAATAGATTATTATTACCATTATTATTCTTCTTTTTATTATTATCTGTTATTAATATTCTTTTCTTTCTTCTTCTTATTTTATTATTAGAGCATTATTGATAAGAAGAATCTTAGAATCGTAACATTT